ACTTTTCCTTTAAAAGTTTATTTTCTACGCACGAGGAAGCAGGTTTTTGTAGGATACTCGAGGCGCGGACGAATCCAGGCTAATCAAGGGACGATAGCTCTCGCAGGGCGAAACTTTCGACAAGTTTGCGACGCACGACTCGAGGTAATGTAACCCAGTTATACGCTGCCGCTGACATCTTCGGTGTCGCGGTAAACCGGTAATTCTGGCAGCAAGTTCGCCGAACAAAGGACCCTTTGACAAGACCCGCGACGATTAACGCGACTCCCATAGCTTCTTGAACCACGTGAATCGTTCACTGCAATAAATTCAAGTTGAACATATGGAGAGAAACTTCCAACCGTTCAAATCTCTTCCTCCCTATGGAAATCCACGCATTTCCTTTCCCTCCTAATCGATCCGTAACGCTGTCGTATACCTCTCTCCTATCTTTCATTAGTTTTTAATCATCCTGCCTCCTTTCCTTAACTGTAAACAAATCCGCATCATCCTAACGTTAGTCACCCCGAAACTTAGACCTCCACATCATCCTTTACTTTTACGCCTCTCCCAACATTGACCTCTGAGACCAACCCCAACTCTCGTACTTACCGAACCTATATCTAGAAACCTTTTCCGTCGAAACGGCAGATTTTTGTCTAGCGGTCTTCACGCACCGAACGTCACCGAACTGTCTAATAAAGTCGAATAGTACTACGCGCAGAATAGCTCCCTTATTTCGCCCCAGTTTCCGTCAGGCTCTCCTACCGCGTACCTATTGAATATAATAAACCAACGCAAGGAATCGCGAGCCGCGGAATACAACAACGCGTACACATTCTTATCGGACCGTTTAAAAGATTTCACCGCTGTAGGAATAGTAGCTCGATCGATCGCCGAGACAGGTTCACCTCGGTACAATACTGATACACCGGTCCCTCAATTTACGCGGCGCTTTTTCTACGCGAATTTTTCTTACGCGGTCAGATAGAATTTATTACATATCAGAGAGACGCAAATTCTTACTTGAACGTACTAATTACATAACTCTGACACCGAATAAAGCTTATTTCGCTTTTCTGAAATATTACTCTTTTCATTACACCTGTTTTTCTTTCGTACAAGCAGACTCTATCCGCGTAAAGAAAATCAACGCGGAACGGTCAATCCGTGTAAATCGAGGGACCAGTGTACTGTACTGCCCTAAGACTATTTCCGCACGTATTATTACCTCTTCTCGCCACCAAGACCGAACGAATCAGAAACCGCGTGAATTGTGACGGGCATGGCAGAAGCTAGTAAACAGACGACGATAAAAACGAACAGAAAAAGTACGTTAACCGATAAGGCCTACGTACCAGGCACTCTTTGTTGACAC